CTTCCTTCCTTCCTTCCTTCCTTCCTTCCTTCTTCTTCTAGGTTTTTCAAGACTTGGTTTTTATGTGTGGCCCTGGCTGTCCTGGTAGCTGCTCTGTAGACTAGGCTGTCCTCGAACTCACAGATCTGTCTGCCCTGCCTTCCCATTGCTTGAATTAAAGGTGTGGACCACCCTGCTTGATACTGTGGATGTTCTGGGTTTCTTGTTCATAATGTGACAGCTGCCTCTTGTCCACTTAAAGGACCAGAGGTGAGAATCATCCAAATCATCCTCTCCATCAACCTCTTAAATCCCTTTCTGCCATCTCCTCATGGATCCATTTTTCTTGCTCCTTTTCTCTCCCCAATTCTGTTCCAGTAGCTTGGAAAGTAAATTGAGGTGTTCAGAAGGGGTCTTCAGGGGTTTTATTGGCAGAACAGAGTAAAGTGTGCAGACAGAAATTTCTGTCCCGTCCGGTCCTGCAGCTTTTCTCAGTGCGTCATTCTCATCCTGCTTCCTCTGCTTCTGAATGATGACTGTGTCTCTGCCTTTTCTCTTCCCAGAATTCTCCTAATCTGGTTGCCCCACCTATACTTCCTGCCTAGCTACTGGCCGATCAACATTTTACTAAATCAAGACAAGGATACAACAAATCTTTATAGTGTACAAGAGCATTATCCCACAGCAAAAATGATGAAAATGGATAAGAACTCCGACCTGGCTTTGCCAGTTCTCCAGTGAGGTCTAAATGGGACTAAGGATAGACCTTTCTTTGCCTTCAAGCTTAATATCTCTTCCACGTGGTTTCTTGGTTTCTTTGTTGTTGTGACTACTACTACTACTACTGTGTATTGTATCTGAATGTGTGTATGTGCAAGCGAGTGTGCCCGAGGAGGCCAGTAGAAGGTGTCAGATATCCTGGATCTGGAGTGACAGATGTTTGTAGATGGAAATGCCAGCACCGCCCAGCTGTTAAAGAATATTTTTTACATACGAGAGGAGAAATGGCCACTGCTGCAAAGACAACAAATCAACCCCAAGCCCAGGCTGATTTTCCAAACTTGTAGCAATCCTCTTCTTGCTTCAGCCTCTTGAATGCTGAGGTTACGGGCATATGCCACGACACCCAGCTGAACATTCTCTTACTGAAATCTTTACTTACATCTTGATTATTTCTTTAGGTTAAAATCATAAGCACCAGACCATGTGCTGTGTGTAATCCCAGCTCTCCTGGGGGAGAGAGGAGGCATAAAGGTAGGACAGCCACTTGAAACCCTAGACCAGCCGCCCTGGAGTGGGCAGTGCAGAAGCAGAAACAAGAGAGAAACTTTGAGGACCACCCAGGCATTTCGGGATGAGGGGGATCAGGTTTTGACCAGCTACTCTTGTTGACCTTGACCTGTGGTCACTGATGGCTGCTTTCGGAAGGACTGAGTGGGTGCAATGGATACCAGGTAACCCGTGAAACTGAAGCTACTCAGTGTCTGACCTTTCCAGAACATTTCTGACCCAGCTATTGGCAGTGCAGCCTGCAGCTCTGCACAGTTGCCTCTCCTGGGAACTTGTTGACATACAGAGCTCCACAGAAGCCTGGCCCGCTTAGGATCTATGTATGCTTCAGAAACCTGAATGGAGCTGCCTTTGGGGCTCTAACGTGACTGTCACTGCAGGGTAAATGAAAAGTGGGTATGTCCCTTAGAAATGGACTCCTGGGCTTCTAGGAGAACCCCGTGTTCAGCTGGCTCTGGGTGCTGAGAAACAGCAGGGAGTTCAGGGCCTCCTGGCCTGGAGAGGGTGGGATGGAGGGCACAGGGGAAGGACTACTAACTAACCCAGTGAGTTTTGCTGCTTTTCTGGGGTTGTAAAGAAGTTGATACTGGTGATTGGGTTTCCTTGCACTTGTACCCCAGTTATCTCAGAAAGCAACAGAGAATGTGCTTCATTCCCGGTCAGAAGGCTGCCAATGCTGGGAGAACTCACAAACGTCCCAGCCACAGTGGAAGGTCAGGAAATCCCAACCGTGTGGAAGGCCAGCTCACCCTCCCCAACTTGGAATTCCCGCCTGCAAAGTTTTTCACCTCACAAACTGTGCAAAGACAGGGACTTGTGTCTCCCGGGCTGACCTCAAACTCAGAATGTAGCTGAGGATGACCGTGAACTCCTGAGCCTCCTGCCTCCACTCTGAGTACTGGAATGACAGGTGAGGGCCATCTGCTTTATGGAGGGCTGAGGCTTGAACCCAGGGTTTTGTTGGCAGTGGCAGCGCTCCAACCAGTGAGCTGCATCTCTTTCCTCTCGTTTTTCTCACCAGCGATGTCCAAGATTACAAACTGTGGCTTATTGGCTTTCAGATGAGGAGGCTTGAGGTGAAGGTGTTTAGCAAACTTGAAAAGCAAGGTATAAAATAAATTTGTTTAAAAATGACCCATCAAGAACCTGGGCAGTGGTGACACATGGCTTTAATCCTAGCATTTGGGAAGCAGAGGCAGACGGATCTCTGTGAGTTCAAGGCCAGTCTGGTTTACAGAGTGAGTTCCAGGACAGCCAGGGCTACACAGAGAGACACTGTCTTGGAAAAAAACAAAAACAAACAAAAAAACAAATGTAAGTTTAAAAAGCATGAATGAAAGAAAACCAAAATAAATTCAGAAAAAAATATCCACAGTCACCACTTGCTGCTTTTTCCAAGTCAACGGGGCTAAAAGAACAGGGTGCTGCTGCCCTGTTCATGGATTAGTATAAGTATGCTAAAATGACAAATGACACTCAATGCCTTGAGGTCCACACTGGAGGCTATGCACTTACTTACCCCATCCCACAAGAATCCAAACTAGATGTTATTCCCCGTGGCTTCAAAGTTAAGTAGCTTAAGTCCACACAGCTAGCAGCTCGCAAGGCTGAGCTGTGGAACCAAGGCTGTGGAGGCCCAGAGCAGGGCTTTGCTCCAGGAGCACAGAGCAGGGGCTGGATCACTGAGCCACTTCTCATGTGCACTGCAGGATCACTAGATGTGGTGGAAGCCCAATCTCCAGACCTCTCAGGGTCAGGAGGAGCCGGGATGGAAATGCACATGGCCCTGCTGGGAATCCCTGCTCTAAGACTAAGGATCTGATCCCACATCTATTGAACACATTTCCTTCTCCAAGGCAAATTTTCAAAGGGTTCTCTGCTTACTTTTTTCTGTACTTCTAGATGTCTATATTTTTCATTTATGTATAATACATATAATAAATAAACTCCAGGTGTGTGCCGTGGTTTGCATCTGTAATCCCAGCATTCAGGAGACAGAAAACAGGATTTTTGTGAGTTTAGTGCCAGCCTGAACTACACTGTATGTAAAAGAAGACTTTAAAAACAAAACAAAATTCCTCAGCAAGGGAATGAAGCAGGGAGGGAAGGGGTTACAGGGAGGTGCATGCCTTTAGTTCCAACACTTTAGAGGCAGAAACAGGTAAATCTCTGTGAGTTCAAGGCCAACCTGGTCTACAGAGGAGTTCCAGGACAGTCAGGGGCTTTTACACAGACAAACCCTGTCTTAAAAAAACAAAAACAACAAACAAAAACTTTTCTAAATATTAAATTAACATAACGAAACAACATATGTTTATTGTAGCAGATGAGAGCATAAAAGTAACTATGTGTTCCACACAGATAAGCCACACCTCTGACTGCTCTGGGCTGTTTGCTGTTCTTGTGATAAGGTGTCTTGGCAAGCTGCCTTATTTTCCCATGGCTCTGCTCAACCCAAATGCACACAATATTCCTTGTTGGATAGTCTGGGCACCTCTTGCATCTGAAGGTTGGGTGCATGAAATGCAGCCTTTGTCATGATCCATGAACATATATTACTCTAAGTTGTCAGTCTAAGGAGGCACTGAGACCTGGATAAAATGCCTAGTGAGGAGCTGACCTGACCTTGCTTTGATGATTGATGAATGGCCCAGCCCAAGCAGGCTGTTGTGGCTTTTTCTCTCACTCTGTCAGAGAAGAGAGCTTGCTGCCAGGCATAAGTGACTAACAGGGACACCCAAGAGGGAAGGCTGTAGGCAGATGTGTTTGGTCTCTTACTAAGAACTTGGTCTACCATTCCTCCACAGCATCAGTATCAGAGCCTCAGACAAGAAGACTCTGGGGAAAACCACTCTCCCATCTTAGAAGGACACACCCAAAATCTCATGCACAGCCCAAGAGGCATCGCCTTGTCTCTACAGGCTGAAAGGAATTTTGGGCATAGAACAAGCTGGAAACCAACTGAAGGGAGAGATGTTTCTTCCCTGGAAGCTGAAAGGGAAAAAGTATGTCTGCTTGGAGAGGTGAAGCTGATGGAGGGTGTGTGGAAGCAGTACAAGGTGAGCCCTGGGTGCTCAAGGGTGTTTGAGCCGGGTGCTGCCTCCCTGCCTTGGCGGCAGAGCCTAGAAAGACTTCAGATGGGTTCAGATAGCCAGATGGTACCACTTGCACCTAAAAATCTTTTTCTCCCTTAGAAGGAAGTAGTTCTGACAGTGTGCCTTATACTTTAAGAATGAGAGCCCTGTTTTCTGTCCTTTGGCAACCCTTTGCGAAGAATAGGAAAGCCTCAGAGAGGAAGCTTAACAAATCGTTTTTATAACCCACCCATCCAACACCCAGTGCAAGGGTACCTGATCCACTGAGTATTGGCCAGATGGTGATGCTGGAATCTTTGGATGGGTGGGTGGATAGATGAATAGATGGATGTATACATGCATGCATTCATGAACATATGGATGGAGGATCTGTGAACAGACTGATGGATAGACAGATGCATGCATGCGTCTGTGAATGCATGCATACATAGGTGGATGGAGGTATGAATGGACGTATGCATGAATGAACAGAAAAACGCATGGGTAGATGGATGGACGGAAGGGCAAATGCGTGAGCGGATGGATGCAGTGAATCCTGCTTGACCCACAGGCCCAACCTCCTGCAACTTCCCAAGAAGAGGCCAGGATACTCTTGACTTCCACCCTGGCTGACATCCCCACGCAGCCACTGCTCACCTTGTGTTGCTTCCACGTTGCCCCCAGCGGCTTCACCTCGTGTTTGCTATGCCTGCCTTCCTCCAGGCACAGGAAGCACACCGGGCTCCGACAACTCACGCAGTACATGCTGTAGTTCTCCATTTCGTGCTCGGGGCATGTGGGGAACTTTCGAGGCGCGCTGGCCCCGGCACCCCCTGGGCTCCTGCATCCTCCTGCGCTCGGGGCGGTGGATGTGCCGGCTGAAACAGGGGTAGCCTCTGGGGGTGCTGGCGGCGGCGGCGGCGGCTGAACTAACCGATGCTTAGCGAAGGGGCCCCGGGACGGGTGGCACTTGAGCTGGCAGGTGGCGCAATAGAGCACGTCGCATTGCTCGCAGAGAGTGGCTGCCGGCTCCGGTGGGGTGCGGTCGCACAGCTGGCAGATGGCCACCGCCGGGGCTGCAGACGCTCCCGCAGCAACCCCACGGCCCTGCTGGTACCGCTGCACTATGCCCTCCAGCAGTCGATTGCGCTGGAAGCCTCGCAGGCCGCGGTGATCCAGTGAAGCGCTGCGGTGGCATTGCGGGCAGGTGATGGAGCTGGAGGACGAGCAGAGTGAGGAGCAGGCAGCGCCTCGGGCCGCGGCGGCAGACGAGCCTGGGGGCGCAGGCACCATGGGCAACACGCGGACTCCGTTGGGGGACTTGAGGCTGGGGGTGTAGGAGCCATAGCCGCTGTCAGTCTCACTGTACAAGCTCAGCTTGTCCGCGTGGTCTCCACCACCGGCCGCCCCGCCGCCCAGGCCTCCAGCTGTGCTAGCTCCCGCGCCTCCGCAGGTCGCGCCGGCTGCAGCATCCTGATCCGGAGGGGGCACGGCGGCGGCACCCCGCGAAAGCAAGAGCGGCGGGGGCAGATGCTGCTCGCCGTCTGGGGTCTGAACCGCGATGGTGCGAGCGCACGGCAGGCAGACATTGTGAGAGCAGGGCAGGATGATGGGCTCCCGGAATAGGGAGCCGCACACCGGGCACTTGAGCTCCTCCTCCATCGCCGCGCCAGCGGTTCCGGGGACCAGCGAAGAATGCTCAGGCTCCGAAGTCAAGAGCGGAGGGGCGGGCGAGGTCAGCGCTGCTGAGACGGGAGACAGGGGCATTACACGGGCATGCTGTCTTCACCCGCGGGAGGGGGAGCACGCCCCTTTCTGTCCTCTGGCCACCCCCCTAAGAAGCTCGGCCGCCAGAGAAGGGAGGGGTCCTCACCTCCCGAGGGCGAGGCTCCCGCACCAGAGGCTGCCGTCTGAAGGTGGCGGACAGCCCTCGCGGTGGCCTCCGAGGTTGTCCCGGTGATGAATCAGCAACAGCAGCAGCGCCGTCCGGATACCTTGTGCCTCCCCTCCATGCAGGACCAGTGGCCCGCTGCTGTCAGCCAGCTAGGCGACTGAGCTGGGCACCGCATCGTCGTGGCCCGAAGTCGTCTTCTCCGAGCGCCCCGCCCCTACCCAGCTCTTGGCAGCGGCACAAGCGGCTGGGCCAGGACTGGTTCAGCACCACCAGACGGCGGACAGCGCCCGTGAGCTGGTGGAGAAGGTAGTCGGCGTCGATTCCCGGGGCGCTCGGCCAGCCAGGCTGCTGCCCTGCCACGGCCACCTCGGCATCCCCCGGTCCGGAGGTCGTCGCCGTCCTGCTCCCCGGCCGCTGCTCGCAGAGCTGCCACCTCGCAGGCGGGAATCGACCCCTGTCCTCGACTCGTCTCGCCAGCTCCGATTCCTTGCAGCGCCCCTGACCTTGGCCAGTCCTGGCCCAGCCGCTTGTGCCGCTGCCA